CGCCATGACTCACTCCACCCCAGAGGTTAGCTCGGCCCCAGAGGAGGACAAACCCTCATTTCTGCCCAAGAAGGAAGGAGCTTCAATCCTAAAGAAGATAATCTTGGGGTTTAAAGCTCTCCTTTTCGAATTTCCTTCCCTGTCAATAGTGACTATCTTCTTTAGGGTTGAAGCTCTTTCCTACGAGGGCTACACAACATCCCTTGTCCTTGTTGCCCCAACCGCCATGACTGACTTCACCCCAAAGGTCACATAATAGTCACTATTGACAACTATGAACTCACACACATGAAGCGTCTGTGAAAAACATTCATGCTAAAACAAAACTTTTGGAGTACTAGATTTGAAAATTCAATCACAAAGGAAATGTTAGTAATCACGAAATTTTGAATCAAATGGAATTTCACAATTTATATCTTATCATTATCCCAAGCAGGGATGTTTGGCGTGTACTAGTGGTTGAGGGGCGCAACACATTTATCAACACATGACTTCCCTGTTGCAGTCAGCATCGACACATTTGTCATTTGGTCAGATGCTGGACGAAGTTCTTGGCATATATCCATCTTCGCGCCTACACATTACTGTGTAAGTACCCCATAATTATGAGGTGTCTACGACCTTTGCTTTTTCCCGAGTATATTAGATTGTTTTGGCTTTGAGAAACCGATCATCAAAAACTTTATAAAAACAGGATGTGAACCACGCTTCCTAAAAGGTTCCAACTTTAGCGGGCTTGACTATTCACAATATACTTATAGGGTTGGTCGTTTTATCGAATTAGGTTTTTGCGATGGCACAGGAACATGCTTATTCTTTAGTTGTAAAAAAACTTTTTAATTTTGAAGTATCATTACGAGTTCAATATATATGAGCGTTATTTTGTGAGATTAACCGCATCTTAAATCATTTACATGCATTATTACTTTCAATACACCTTTCTCTGATCGTGCATGCCGAAATATGAACCGGCGTGAGCCGCCGGTCAAATTTTTCAACGACCGTATACAACCCAAAATTTGAGGTGCGTATAGTGCGTACACGGTAAGGACCCACAATCAATATATAGGCTAAGTGCTAGTGGTTTAAGCAAACAAACTTTGGGAATCAACGTTTAGCATCAGGATTATATTCCGATTTATGAACATCAAGATCAAAAGGTTGTTCAAGAAATTGCTCTCGATTGAATTGAAAATTATAGAATTGAAAGGCGAGAATGTACTATTTAAAATTAGGGGTATGCTATTTGAAATGAATAGTTCGTCAATAAGTCACTAAAGGAGGGTTAAATGGTTATCTTGCAAAACTCGAAACTAAGAAATAGAGGTTGGAAATACTATTTCAGTAAGGAATCATAATTTAAAAGCGATAAAGAAGCTAAGCTAGTTTTTGCCCTAGGCTAAGTAACATCAGGACAATTACAAACCCAAAAACATTGTGATTAACCCTCGTTACCCTAAATGTCTTGTTACCGATGATCACTCCTGTAGACGTGTTGAAGATCTTCCACCGTTGAGTATGCACTTGAAGGTTGTTGAAGTCCTCCTTAAAGTTTACAATATCTTCCACCCCCCCCGACCCCCCCATAAGCCTGGCCCCCACACCCTCTTTCAAAAAAAACGCCTCCCCTCTACGGAGCTGAGGGCAAACTGGCCGACCCCACTAAACAACTCTTCGGAGTTCGTTGCGAAGCTCCTCGCTGAGCGCATCGACAATGCTTCACATGAGTTCCAATCCAACACGATCAAGTGAGGAGTTGACAATAAAGTAGATAACAGGGGGGAGGTGAATCGAGGAGGCAAAAATGACAGAAAGATGAGGAGAAGGAGGACACCTAATACAACCTAAGAATTCACCTCCCGCCTCCTCCTTCCGCGTGACCCCACCATTGTAATCCCAAAATGCAAAGTTGGTTTTCACAATCGTCCTTCCCTCACTCGCTCGTCCGCACACCAACTTAAACCATCGCTGGTTGAAAGGCGCTCCTGGCCCTTCAAACATCCCTCCTCGCGGTCCCTTCCTCCTATGTAGAGTTGTTGTACTGTGTTCAATGATAAATGGCATCAGAGCAGGATAGACAGGAGGAGGAATGGATGGATGGAAGAGAATAAGGATCATAGTGTCTGCCCCGTACAATCTATGGCAGCGACCAGGGCTCATATTTGCCATCTCTCCACCTATCGTACCCTCCTGCCGCACATTGCCCCATCTCCACGCCGTCGAGCTTTCATGTCGGAAATACATCACCAAAGCCCGGGTGCTTTCTGCTTTGTTGAACCCTCGTCCCGTCGAGCCCGCAAGCCGTCTACTCCGTCGGGCGGCGGAAGCAGCACTCCCGTCATGTCCCGCCTTCCAGTTTCCTTTGGAAGCCTTCTTCTGTGTATTAAGTCTTTTCACAGGCTTTGGTTTTCGCTGCAATGGTCGGTCCGACCGTTGGACCCACTTTCCAGCCAAAATTCTTCCATTCTATGTTTTATGGGATGCTGGACCGTTTTCCAAAGGGTGCTGCCCCCCACCAATAGCAAGGAGCCATCGGACTGGCAAATATGCAAATATATATATATATATATATATATATATATATATATATATATATATATATAGATATAGATATATATATTATTATTTTTTAAATACAAAAGAGAGTTGTAGACAGTGGCATGGCAAAACCAATATATAGAGAAGATAGCATGGTCCGCATGGGTTGCACACTTAAAAGTAGAAAAGGTGTATAAATGGCATTTGGCAGCCAGAGGCTGCACTTACCTCGGTTGTAATGGTCGGTTTTCTTTTTCGGGAAAAGTCGTGGGCTGTAATCGAGGTTTGGCGGGGTGTTTTGGGGCTTTTGGAAAAGGTGGAAAGGGTGCGGTTGCGGCTAGAAGACGGACCGGTAGTGCAAGTGGTAGTGGTAGGCAGCGTTGTCGAGCGGGGATCCCCGGGGGCAAAGCCGGTGTGAGGCAGCGGCCCCCGGACACCTGCCGCGGGGGCCATCCAACCCCGCCACCGTCGGACGACCCCCGCCGCCGCCCAGCCCCGGGTACCCCGCCGCCCAACCCCACAGGCCCGCCACCGACCCCGCAACACCGCCCCCGCACCGCCCCCACACTGCACCCCCGCCACCGCGACCCCGCCTGGGGAAGAACCCCGCCCCCGCAACCCCGTCACCCGAACCCTGCACCCGCAGTGCCTACCCTGCCAGCAACCCCGCACCCCCGCGCCCCGGCCACCGGCCCCCGTTGGTCGAACCCCGACCCGGATCCCCGCCGCCGCCACCGACCCCGCGGCCCGTCCCCCGGCGTTTGGGAGGGAACCCCGCCGCCCCGAGGCCCGACCACTGCACGGACAACCCCG